TACTCTCCTAGTTCACTCACTTTGTATGGGACACTATGAGACATTACCATCAAATTCTTGCACTTCCTGTGTTTCCATTTTGTTTGAGAGCCCGAAAAATGTCTTGTATCTTTCCCATCTCTTTAAGGAAATGAGCAATGGCACAATATGGGCAGGCACAGAGCAAATTAGAGTCATCCTTTTAAAGACATGTGGTTGAATGTGGAACAGCAATACTGGCAATTCCTTAGTGCTCTGAAGAATGCCATACCTATGAAGTGGACATGGTGCAGTCTGGTAATTTCTCCCATGCTATTTCTTGAATAGAACTGAAAGCAGTGAGTCCACCAGAAAGCTGTGAGTCTGTGCTGCAGAAAACTGTTGTCCTTACAGGAACTCATTGTTCCCACTCAGATTCTGCTCAGAGTAGAAATTTACTTTGCCCCAAATCTCTGTGCAGTGGGGATTTTTCAGCAAATCCATCATAAAGGTGCATGCTAATATTGCCCATCCTGTCCATATTATTTTAGGCAAATTTGTGCTGCTGCAGAAAGGAAAGACAGTTTTGGATAACCTGTTACACTTGTTTAGCTTATGCTGCACTTTATTGTCCCAGTTTAGGGCCCATTTGATTAGATGCTCCATTTCAGAATTCCCCAGGAAGGACATTTATATGAATGGCAGGGAATAGTTTGTTTACTGCAGTTTGCATTCAAATAGGTGAATCAATATTTTATATATTGAAAAATATATGAGAAGCCAAGATATCAATGGTGCCATGCCTTGCCTTTTCTCTTAGCTAGAATGGTCAGCAGCCTGACTTTTGGGCATGCTGATACTGCTGAATCGCATACATATTGTGGCCTCAGGGCTAATCTGGCTTGGTGAATGTCTTGGCCAAGCAGTACTGAGCAAAGCTGTTTCTTTTACTGGGAGGCAGACAGACGTGAATGCAACTCTGTGTTGGATTTAATGAGGTTTAATGCCTAGGACAATGCAGGCACACAAGAAAAGCATTTGCACTGTTTTAATAAGTGCTGGAATGTGAAGTCAAACAGGCCTTAGGAAGTCTGAGCAACAACAAAGCTAGTGGAGGATTGAGGCCTTTGAATTGTGGTGCTGGTGGAGACTCCTGAGAGTCCCTTGGACTGCAAGGCGATCAAACCAGTCATTCCTAGAGGAGATCAACCCTGACTGCTCTTTAGAAGGCCAGATCCTGAAGATGAAACTCAAATACTTTGGCCACGTAATGAGAAGGAAGAACTCCCTGGAAATGAGTCTAATGCTGGGAACCATAGGTGGCAAAAAAGGGGGACGGCAGAGAATGAGGTGGTTAGATGGAGTCACCGAAGCAGTTGGTGTGAGCTTAAGTGGACTCCGGGGGATGGTGGAGGACAGGAAGGCCTGGAGGAGTGTTGTCCATGGGGTCGCGATGGGTCAGACACGACTTCGCAACTAACAACAAGTGCTGTGTGTAAACGCCCTCTCACAAGTCTCTACTCTCTCGGTGGGCACAGAAATGTAAGGGACAATTTTGCCATATTTCTGCAGAGGCAGAAAAAAGTTTCTCACAGGTAGGGATCATCTTCAGCAGGAGTTGTAGTACAGCTTCTTTCTCCCCCTCCCCTTTTTGGTAAGAGTTTTTAGTTTTTTTGTGCAGCCCCAGCAAGTGACAACAGCACCAGTTCTTGCCACTTGTTGGAGGCTTCCCCCAGTGCATTTTGCATCCCCCACAATAAAGGTGAGGGGAGGGCAGTGTTTTTTTAAACTTCAGGAAAGAAGTGGACAGCCAAAGCTGTCCTCCAGGTTTTGGAGGATTTTCTTCTCCCATGGGGGAGGCTTTCATTGTTCTTCCTCATTCTTATGCTTTGTAATATCTTTTTGGGGAATTTTCACGTTGCTGAGTCACTATGAGGCAGCTGTGTGTCTTCCTTCTCCATTACTCAGAAGAACTTCAGGCTACGTGTGCTTCCTAATCTTAACAAGGCCCATGGCAGGAATTACCTCACAATAGGAAACCCTTGGATTTAAAGGAAGCATGAGAAGCTGGTGACACTAAAAGCTGCCAGAAAGAAGATTGCACAAATTCAGGCACAGGCAGGACACTCATGCACTGCCTCAGTAAAGTGCATCCGAGAAAGCTGGACCCAACACATCATTCTTCCCCCACATTTTTTTTAATCTTTAAAAATAATTTCTTTTCTGCAATATTGAGTAAGTTGTGGGGTAAAATTTTGACACGGCAGTAATTTTATGATACGGACAGGAATCATAACATGCATTAAGCCAAGAAAACCCCCTTAAAGTAATAGGGCCAATGAGAAATGAGCATGCTCAGAGCCCTAAAGAAAAAGGCAAAGGAAACAGGGTAAGGTGGATGACTGGAAGCAGCTGGTGAAGAGGTGGCTGTGACTGGAGCTTTTTTTTCCTCAGGATGGGATTTTTTTTTTTTTTTTGCAGGATGAGAATATTTTTAAGTGCTAAGTGTGTGAATTTAGGAGAACCCTTTGGGTCTATATATGTCTCAAGACTGCTATCTAGCATCCTCTCTAAAATTGCAAGAGTGTCTGTGGTAAATCTTTACTCAGATAGTGCAGCATCTTAGGCCAGTTCTTATGCTACTTTGCATCTCTTAAAGGGTTCTCAGTCCACAGGCCATCTGCTTTGCATAACACCATCTCCAGACATAGACCTACTCTTCCAGTTATTCCTGCATGCAAATAACAAGATATGTAAATGTGGCATATGTACACTTTGCATGGAATCTATATCATTGAATAATATAAAGGTTTATGATTCACTAAAAAACTCCTTAGTTCTGAAACAAATTGCACATGCAACACATTGACACTTAAAATTTGTGCAGCATCTCTTGCTTGAAACAGTTTAGTTTTCAGCCAGTCCCTTTTATGCTCCTGTCTCTGATGTTTTCCTTTAGTCCCCTCAATAACAGACTCAGATAACCCTCCCACATACCAGGGATAAATTTGTATGTTGGTAACAAGTGAATATTTGTTCAGTGATATTCTGTGCTGAAAACTTAATTCTATATCCTCCCTTTTGGCTGAGGTCAAAAATCACTGTGCAGGTATTCTTAAAAGAACAGAAAGTCCAAATCTAAGCATGTTGATTCAGAGTAATTACTTGCTAATAAATGGTTATAGGATTGCAGCATGAATATGTTCAGGATATCATGCATTTGGATCTATTTATGATGGAAATCACTAACGTATATCTTGATTTTCTCTTTGTCCCTGGACTGGCTGGCTAATCTTATCTGCCTGCAGTTGCAATGCATGGGCTACCAAGCTCATAATATAGGTGACAGATAAGTGTCCCACTGCATAATTGCTGTACATATGGGATCAAAATTGTAGAAACCTCAACACCAAACTGTGCTTTATTTATATGTTTCCAACCATGGGATATTGTGGAAATCTGACATGCTGGTGTAGCCCTCTTCAGACAGCACATAATTCTGACAGGTATGGACATATAACGGCAGTCCCTTTCCACCTATACTGGGTTCCAGTTGAAGCCCAGGCCCAATTTAAGCTGCTGGTGATGATCTATAAAGCCCTAAATGGTTTTGGGTCTGGTTACCTGAAGGAATGTCTCCTTCCATATGTGCCTGCCTGCCCCTTAAGATCTGGGGCAGACACTCCGGCTGCTCTCCCTGAAGGAGATTAGGAGGGTGACTACCCAGAGAAGGGACTTCACTGTGTTGGTGCCCCAATTGTGGAATTCACTCATCACAGAGGTTTGCCTGTTGCCATCACTTTATTATTTTAGGCGTCAGGCCAAAACCTTTTTATTTTCCCAATGTTTTAAGACCTGTCTATTTTAATTGGGGTTTTATTATTAGTTGAATTTTAGGATGCTGTGTTTTTTAATTTATTTTTTTCACATTTTGTATTGTTAAATTGTTCTGAGATTTCAGTAATGGGACAGTCCAGAAAAGTTTTAAATAAATACATACAAGCAAGGTAGGGAAGTAGGCAACGCCTCTGCCTATGTTTGTTGCCCTACACATGTAAAGGACAGGTGCCTGTAACAGAGCACCTGCTCCATACATGTGGGATTCCCAGGTGACCCTCTGCTAGAGACCATCAGCCTTTGCCCATCAAGGGTGACAAAAGGGTGTGGCTGTAGTCTGCTTGTGCCAGCTTCCCCTCCGCACACTTTCCAAACACCTCATGAGAGCTAGTGTTCTACATGCCATGTGCTTCATGATTCTGGACCTGTTTCATGAAAAGGAGGTGATGCTGGGGATGGTTCAAGGACATTGTCAGCCTTGTGAAATGGACTCCCCTTCTCGGGCAATTTTTCACTTACCTCAGCAAAAGGGACACGTGTCCTTCCTTCCCAGGCATCAGGTGAGTGGGGGAAACAATGGCAGCAAACAGGTGCAACATAAGAGTGGATGGTTTGGGTTTTTGAGTGAACTTTTTTCTCCCTGAAATGGACACCTTCGTAGTGGAGGTCAAACCTTACAAATATTGAGAGCAGCACTAATCCCAAGTGACTGGTTGGACTGCTTGAGTGGTCCCTGGAAGATATGCATATGCTCATCAAGGTGCTGGAGGGGCAGCTGTGACTTTTAGAAACTACCTCAGTCCATAATGATTGCGAAGACAGCTCTGTGGTTCAGGGTTAGGCAAACTCTGGTGCCTCACACACACTTGGGTTGCTCATAAAAGGCAGCACATCACTGGTAGTTCACTGGTAATTAATTTTATCAAAGGATTACTTTTATGGTATATATGCCAAAATGCTTTCAGTTTGTCCTCCTATCATTATGGACAGCCTCTGAGGCAGTCTAAAATAAACCTACAATTAGTGATAAACCCAAACTGTAATATTTTCTTTTGCTTTTGCACAGAGTATTAGAAAGGGAAAATGGGATTTCCTTAACTGCACTTTGACGAATGTGGTGTCCTCTGTATATAGAGTTACATGAAAGCGTATGAATCACAAACTTTCTTAAAAAGCATGACTGGCTTAAAACATAGCCTTCTTACTTGGTCTTGATGCTGACTTGGTGGTCTTGAATGGGCTAGCTTATCTGGTAGTCTTCTGTCAAAGCCATGTCCATTCTCCAAACGAGATTCCCGGGGCTTGTCGAACCAATCTGTTTCTTCCCGGCGCAGATGGTAGGCTTTGAAAACCAAGGACACGTCATAGGTTCTGAGCCAGAGATGTGAGCAGAGCAATAATTTGGTGTGCGCGGTCAACATGCATATAGCAGTTAATAATTGGCCATGCATTTAAAAGCAAAAGTAGCAGGCAAGAGTGGAAGCAGACAAACTCAGGTGAGTAGGAAGCAATAGAGAAGAAATAGTTGTGCAGACTGTGGATACATAATAGAGGATATATCAGAATATTGTAACAAATTACTTGGTCTTGTTTACTTGCTTAAATATTCTTTCAGAATAGATGGCAGAGATGTTTTTTGCTAGCAGGTAGTGTCACTCCTTACTAGGGATGGGTGGGGAATCCCACAGAGGGCTGAAAATCCAGCGAATTTCTCAGCTCAGTCCCATGTATTCTGTTTTGCCTACCCTGTACTGGATCAACTCAATCAGATGCAAGTCAACCCAGTATTTAAAATGAACAATACGAGCTGCTATTTGTTTAATTTTTAAAGCTGGGAAAAACTGGTCAAAATTAAGGCCTCTAAAAAGCTTGTGTAAATGCACACAAATGATGCAGCAGAGGCCCACACTTTGCACATATCTGATATTAATCGTCAGGAAATTCAAGGTAGCCATCGTGGGGTATGTGCCTATGTTGTGAGAGGCGGATGCTTCCAAGCTTTTCATATTAAATTCTACAACAAGAACAGCAATAGGAACAACATCTCACATCTAATGATTCTACTCTGATCTGTACAACTCATGAAATCTGTGCTAGAGAGTCTCAGTTTTCAGCTCTAAATTTATACAAATATTCTGAGCAGTTTTGAAGCTGGAAAAAGTTAACTTGGATCTGTTAACTTTTGCCTGTTAGGTTGGAAATATGTTGGAAATGTGTTGAGTTCCAGCATCATATAACCCTAGTCCTTATAGACCATCTCCAGCTCTTAGTTCCAGTACTGTCACAGATATCTTCAGAGGTCATATCTATTGTACCTTGTATAGATAATGGTGGTAACGGTGTACACAGATTCATTCTTGGTAGATTCTTTCCAGTTCTGAAGCATTCCTCATTTTGAGATCTACTTAAATCTGGTTCTGAACATTTTTTGAAATAATAGGATACTTTATGTAAACATGTTTTAGTGATCATGTTTTGTAAGTGTATTTTAGGGTTTAATGATATGCATGTTTAGGTAGAAAAGATCCATGCTGGCAGTTGTAGGTCTATCTTCTGTCTAAACACTCATAACATTGTACCTTTAATATTTTTAATGTTAAGGTGTCTGTTTTGAGCCTGTGACTTGGGGGTAGAAATATAAATTAATAAATAAATCGAAGTGCTGCGATTTTCCAAATTTTCACACAAATGAGAGCCTATTGTCCTAACAGCTCCATGCCTGGAAGTGCCCAGAAGATTCAAAGACATCTTTGTGCCTTCTATTGGCTGATGAGTGTACATGACAAGCCCAGTGAGAGAAGTCTGGAGAGGATGCAGGTTGATTGCAGCAAAACATAGGCTAATTTCTGTGTGAAGGTCTTTTGGGATGAGAACCTGACAAAACTATTAAAAGTCAAGAAACACATTTGACTTGTTTCTGTGGATACACTTGCAGTCTTCCAAAGCAGACAATTCTTGCCCAATCCTGTTAACCAAATTTATTTAATAGATGGTATCAATGAAGGTTAAAATTCAAAAACCAAACTTTATAGTACGATTTGCCTGAATGATATTGAAAGGGCAAAAACATACATCTGTTGTAAAGTGCAAGTGCAGAAACACACATTCACTGCATGAGATATTCAGTTTTGGAGCAGAGGATGTGCATTTAAGAATTTCCACCACCTTTCAAAATGTCTGCTTGACTTCACCTTTACCCACGTATAATAAAATCCCCTAAACTGTTTCTAGGCAAAGAAATACCAGGAATGTTTAATAAAGCAAGCAGCCAGTGGTAGTGTTTTTCTGCATAATAAGTTCCTACAGAATCTTCCACCTTTGTTTCTCCCTTGTATGGTTCTAGAAACACATTCATGATTCTAGGTAAATATGTTCTACTTGTGGGCTTCCCATAGGCATCTGGTGGTTGGTCACTATGGGTGGGACTGGGACTCAGATGATCTGGGTTCGAGTCTCCGCTCAGCCATGAAGCCAACTGGGTGGCTTTGGGCCAGTCACAGACTCTCAGCCCAACCTACCTCACAGGGTTGTTGTGGGGATAAGATGGAGGAGGAGAATGGTGTAAGCTGCCTTGAGCCCTTTGTAGGAAAAAGGCAGGATATAAATCGAAAAAATAAATAAATAAATGAGACTGCTAATAAGAACCGCCACTGTGCTTACAGTCTTAGGCATGCATAAGGAAACTTGCAGGGGAAAACAGCTGAAGAAGCTGTATTGGAAAAGTGAGTGTTTCTCTGCTGCGTTGGAATAGTTGAGAAAGCTACATTGGAAAAGTGAACACTCCTCTCTGGTAGCTGCTTTGCCTAGATGTAGCAGCTTCCGCTGCTTGATTATATGCCCTATCACTGTTAATGTTCTATATTCACTGGACATACAAAGTCCCATTGAAATAAATCAGGGATATGCAGAATTTTTTTTCTAATCACATGAGTATTTTGTTAGTTCAAGCAGTTCAGTGGACAGTGCAACAAGAAAGATCTGAGCTAAATTAGTGGAGAAAAAAGTGAATGAATTGTCCCAGTTGTGTTGCAGATGTGAAAAACAAGTAAACCCATCAGGACTGCCACTGACATTTTAGGCACATTATAAGAAGATGCTTATCATACAACTGTAAGAGAAAATATTTATGAGGAACTGCTGTTTCAAGAAATTCTCTTAAGAGTGGGTTAGTGCCGAATGCTTATAAACCTATCCATTGTGAAGGACCAGAAATTCCAGTATGCCATGGAGCAAATGAGAAATCTCATCATCTTAGAGCAGTGTTAGGTGTTGGGCAGTTGGGGAGTGGGACTATGAAAAAAGCTAGCATGGGACTGGTTAAGAATGGGGTGGTGGCAGGAGTTTGAAATGATAAGGGAAAAATATGGTTTGGACAGGTGATGAATGGATTGAATGATGGAAAATGAAGGGGTAGCCAACTGCAGGGGTTATGGAATGTGGACAGATTGGGGGAACATACCCTAAGACTCAACATCTGAAATTTTACAGGCCTTTCTCTAATTTTTCCTTAATAGAACCTTAAAATTGATAGTTAAAGCCATAATATTCCTAAGACTACAAGTCTATGCATATGCGTGTATGGGAGAGGGATGGGGAGGCTTGCTTCCATTTAATATATATGGAAGATAGTGCTAAAAGACATATTCCTAACATATTTTGCCAGGAATTAGTGATATGAAACTTTAACTGTGCAGTTTGCAGGGCATGAATGCTCACTCCCTACAATTACGGCCACACTTCTAAGGTAACATACCTTGCAATAAAATAAATCCATTGCATAAAACTAACATGGTGTACTGCACCTGTGGGACATTATATGTTTAACAAAGTTACTGAATAGGTTTTTATGACTGGTAGTTACCAGCTACTGGACATACTTCAGCTATTGGTCAAGAAATGGCATGAAATCATTTGGCAGCCAGAAAATGGGGAAAAGATGTGGCAAAACTGCAGGGAACTGATGCTTTAAAGCCTGGCACTGTCTGTCAGAGATACTTGATTTATGACCCTTTCTTTTGTCATTGTGCTCTTTTTTGTCATCGTAATCAGATCTTGTGAACTGATCCTGCAGACAATGACTTCTGAGATGTCTCGTCACTTTAGGAAGTGTATAACAGTATAACCTGGCTATCCATGCAAAGGCCTAGTAATAATCACTCAGTATTCTGGCGTGCTGCAATACCTTTGATAATGTATCGAAAATTATCACTGTGTGATGTCAGGGTTCTACCTCTGGCCACAGAGGACAACCAGTAACTCCAAGCACACAAATACTGGATTTTATATGACAAGTTGTAGAACTGAACAAGTCACACAATCAAAGTCATGGCTTGAAAGGGGTTGCTGCAAATATTTGCTGTTTCTCAAAAGGAATGCAAGCACAAATGCTGGCTTTATATTCCAGTGGGTTTGTGGCTATATTTGACAACTGCAAGTGAGAAGAATGATCAAAAGGCTACTTCTATTTCAGAAACAGTATTTGTGGATGCCACACTTTTCGGTTATATATATAAGAAAACAACCAATGTATTGCCATCATGCAACAATGGTGGGAAACTTGTTGGACCTCCAGAAGTTTTGGCCTACAACTCCTATCAGCTGAGGAATTATAAGCCTATATATAGCTGGGAATGACTCTGAGCACATTGTGAAAAAAAAAAAAGAGTGAGAAGATGGAGTTAATTCCTTTCTAGCCAACCTAGAACCCTTTGATCTATCAGAACATCCTGTTGATATGGGTCCATAAAGAAAAGAAAGTTGGTTTAAAGCTTCAGCCCTTCAGAAAAAGAGGTAACTTAGGATGTCCAATGTAAAATATGAAAAAATTGAGATGCTCAGGCTCTAGTTGGCTGAGTCTGCAGGAGACTCGTAAATACGTTAAGCAGAATCTATCTGTGCAGCCTACTAAAAGCATGGCATATCCTCTGTCTCTTTAGTATGAACAAAACAGCACAGAAAGAGAATGTTTGTTGATGGCAATGAAGGTGTCAGGTGGAGCTGCTTCATCTCCTGACAAACAGCTGCACTGATGGCCGTGCCACAAATTCTTGCTTATTGCTGCCAGTGTATTTAAAATGGTTGCAAGGATAGATGCCCACCATGCTGAAAACTGGGATGATGGAACTCTTCATATATGTTTGTAATTATTATCATAATAAGCTGTACTTAAATTTGATATAGCAAGCAAGATAGTTTATATCAACACATAATACACTTGAGGTTCTTCTCTTTTCAGAAAGGTGTATTTCAAGTCATCCTAGAAGTCAGAAGGGACAGGAAGAGCTGGAAGAAAGGAAAAAAGTGTACAACATCTGTTGGGATAGCATTTAGGGAAATCTGGTCTGTAGCAAAAATGAGTGATGGTTCATTTAGTTGGGGATGACTATCATACCTATTAGGAATGGGCAGAAAGCACATTTGATTTAGGAAACTTCATGCAATTTCAATATCTTCTTTGAACTGTGATATTTTATTCCCTTTTGTAAATAAGTCCCCTTAATGAATGCCTTAATTTTTGTTATTTTGGAAGCTAATCTTGAGCATGTCATTCCCACCACAGGAACCAGGTCAACAGATTTCTTTTAGGCAGAGAGGGATTATTTTTATGTATAGAAGACAACAGCTCACAGACAGAGCATGTGCTATGCATGCAGAAGTTGCAGCATTTCCAGGTAGGGCTGGAAAAACTCCTGCCTAAACCTTTGGATAGCTGGTAATGAGTTGCATAAACTGAAGACTCAAAATGTTTGGAAAAGAAAAGTATGGATGGATGGATGAATGACAATTCACACATTTTTCCATCTCATGTGGTGACAGCAGCAGGACAGCAAAGAAGCATTTTTCTCATGTGGAATTTACAACTACATTCATTCATTTACTGCTACACCTAGACCAAGTCAGAGGACATAGTCCTTTATAGCACAACACCTAAGAATATACATTTTCTTCATGTATTATAGTATGGTGGCTCTAGTCACATTTTCAGGAACCTGATATGTCTATTTGTAAAAGATACATTAGATCAACAATTTTAATAAGGAATGGAATAAATAACTCTGCCTGGTATCTTGCAAAGGAGGTTAAAAAATTCCTCTATGCTTTCAAAATTTTCAAAAATAGACTTGTTTAAAAAGCCTTCCTATTACCAATCTTTTTGGGGAATAAAGACTGGGAAGTAGATCTTGTTTTAAAAACAACAGCATTACATAGAAACATAGAAACAGAGCAAGTTAGAAGGGGCCTCCCGGGCCATCTAGTCTGACTTCCGGCTCTGCTTGCGACATGCCCACCATGTGCATGTCCAGCCATGTTGCAGTCCAAACACATTTCATTTCCTAGGAAAAATTCAAAAGTATCTTGGAGAAGTAATGGGAACTTTATCCCTGCTCTCCTTTCCAATTTTTCAGGGATATTTTTCCTGGGCTTTCACATCTCTAATGAGATCCACCATATTCATTCAATGTATTAAAACAGACAGAGAAAACAATGGCAGTATAAACAATGTTTAGCCTCATCTGCTCTTGTTTGCAGGAGGTGAGCCATGATATTTTGTGTGTGTGTGTATCTCCTGCCTCTTTTCTTTTCAAGAAACTCAAGGTGGCTTACATAATCCTACTCATCTTTCTTTCAATTTTACCTTGGGTCCTGGCTACCTGAACGAGCGCTTACGTCCGTATATGCCCGACCGCCCTTTGAGATCTGCGGGAGAGTCCCTTCTCCGGGAACCCTCCATGAAAGAAATTAGGAGAGTAAGTACCCGGAGGAGGGCTTTCTCTGCGGTGGCGCCCAACCTATGGAATTCACTCCCCAAAGAGGTCCGCCTGGCACCGTCGTTACTGGTTTTTCGGCGCCAGGTAAAGACCTTTTTATTTAAACATCACTTCAATTGTTAAAACATATGATCTGGCCTGGGCAACTTCTTCTTCCTTCTCTTTCTCCTCCTATATTTTTATTTTATACTGATAATTTTAATTTTGTATTTGTAAATCAATGTATTTTTTGTATTTTTATATTTAATGGTAATTTATTATGTACTACTGTATTTCAATGTATTTTATCATGTTGTAAGCCGCCCTGAGGTTTCGGCAAGGGGCGGCATAGAAATGTTATAATAATAATAATAATAATAATAATAATAATAACAACAACAACAACAACAACAACAACAACAACAACCCTTAGGCTAAGAGTATGAAAGAGAGAGCACATGTGTGAGAGAGAAGGGGATTGAAAAATGGAGGAAGCTTTACTCTAACCCTGACTTTTCCATCACTTTGTGGAACAACTGTATCCGCAAAGAAGGCCTGCAACTTTTGACATTTACAATTTTTCTATACAAAATGGAGCACAGACGTTTCCATAATGCATATTTGTGACAATTTTTCACCTCAGTGATTGTAAAATAGTTTTAAAGTAATCACAAAAAGTAGAAAAAGTCAAAACTAAGTTACAAATCTAGAGAACCTAAACTGGAACCAGAACAATTCTTTACAGATCCTATGAAAATCATTGTAAAGACAATTACGGCTAACTTAAATCACATGGAATGGCACCTAAATTCTACTAACTTGCTGCAAATCCAATTCCATATAGTTCTTTGAGATAGAACAAAAGTCCAACCACAGATAAGAAAAGTAGATTTTCATCACATATTCCATCACCTTCAGAATGATATTTAGAGATAAGAACATTTTTCCTGAAGTAATGATGTTGAAGTAAAGAAGGAAGTGCCAGAGAATATAGTTATAATACCCCAGAGTAGTACATGTATTTGTTCTACAGCAATCATTGCTATTTGCAAACAACAGTGCATGCATTGTATTTTTATTGAATAATATGCACAAAAAATCAACAGAGCAATACAAAGAAAAACAGGTAAGAAACATGTAAAATTAATTAGCATTCAACGTCTTTTTGAAATTGCTTCTGAAACAGTTTTCAAAATATTTAAAACTTTACTGAAGTCCAACAATGCTGATATATAACTTATACTTTAATACTCAACACCAGCATAACTTTGCTTTTTAAAAAGCTGAATTAAAAAGCACCAGGCAATTTTGTGGGCATCGCTGAGACAAGTTTTTGCACTTGCCTGTGGACTTCCCAACACCACTTATCCATGTATTTTCTTGGGATTAAAAATTTAAAAAGCTGTTCAATTTTCCAAATTTTTCTTTCCTTCTGCATCTCAGACTCCTTTTTTATATTTGAAGAGCAGATGGGACTTTGTCAAATGTTTTACATCCTTTACAAACATTTTTACAAATACACTTATATATCAGAACTACTAGCTATGGTTCATATCTGGTAATTTATACATATGGATAGGTTTTATAGAATTAAAAGTATATGCATGTATTTGTTGAAGAGATCAATTACCCTATTCATCTGGACAAGTAACAGGTTTATATCAGCAAAGGCATTTAATGTACATAAGTCCATACACAACCAATATGATACACTTTATGAGGGTGTGATTATTAAGGTGTGATAAGGAAGTCTCCAAAAATACAAGAAATCATCATAACACTATTGCTTCTACTTGCAGCTGTATCAGAGCTTAAGAGAATAATTTATCATTGCATTATATAAAGGAATACTTTAATGAAGGTTGTTTAATGAGCTTCAATGGCTCTTGGCATTTTAGGCCACTGAGGTTTGACAATGAACTTATTGCACAGAGCATTGCTTCTTATACAGGATGGGTCACATTGTTATCAAGATCATATTTTGAGTGGCATTTGCAGCCTTAGTTGATTTAAGTGAAGATTTATTCCACTGAACATAATGGAAAAAGATAAACCAATCCTGAATGAAAGCTTCTGAAAACCACAGTCAAAAAGCTTTTAAAGAAGTAGAGCAAGAGATATAGAGAAAATTGCACAAGCAAACTAAAAGGAAACAAACAAACAAAAATTATGACTTGAACATGCAAGTCTATATACTCATCCAGAATCTGAGCATACAGTTAAACCGGCTGACCAATGGAAAAGACTACAAACACAATGCAGAAAAAAAGTAGTAGTAGTAGTCCCCGAACGATGAAATTAGACACATGCATAGAAATGAGGATTTGTGTTGTGAGAGCGATAAAGCAGTCTGAAGTCTAGTTTACCTTCACTGTCTGACATGGCATGCTGGAAGTCATCCATGATGAAGGCTATATCCCGGTCATAGCCTCGAGCTCGTGATTCTTCCCTCATGTGCTGTTGGACTTCGGGCAATGAATGGCTTGATCCAAACTGGTCCCTAGTGTCTGCAGATATAGGTGGCAATGGCCCAGCTGCAGCTCTTGCCATTCCCATTGGCTGCCCCACAGGACTTAAAGGACTTTCTTCTTCTGAATTCTGTGCTACTATAGGGATTCTTCCCCTACTCTGACTTATAGGTAGGCTGGTGGGTTTCGTTCTTCCAGAGGGGGCTGCATGGCTGAAGGAAACATCCAGTGGTTCGGCCTCTTGGGCCTTCAATCTTAAAGAAGAGCTTGATGAATCTCTCTTTAGAGATAAGTCAAGCCCATAGACTGATGATGGCCGGGAGGAAGGCCTGGATCTACTGCTGCTGCCATAGGCTTTGTCTGCATCGTCCTGTAAGGTGGATCTCATTGTTGCACTTAGTGCAGCCCCAAGGCTTGTGCCAAGGGAATGTGTTAGTGCTGGCCCCATGTACTTCTGTTGGTCTGTGATATTTTTTCGAAGGCCAAATGTTATATCATCCTGGAGAAGCCTTGCTCTGGAGGTGATGCCTCCAAGTGATGATGAGCTGGAAGTTAAGTAGGTTGAATAATCAAGCTCAAGGTCCCTGCTTTCCTGGATGGGTGAGAATTTAGATAATTTGGGATCTATCAAAGCCTTCTTGTGCTTTGACTGCTTCTGGTAAAGGAGGGCTGCTGGAAGCTGTTTAGCAGCTTGTTTCTCTAAGGTAAGCCTGCTAATGCTGTATTTCTCAGATTTGGGGAAATGTCTGTAGCTAGTATCTGCATGGTAATATTGTGAAAGGCCAGCTAGGTGATCCAGACTTTCAGCACCTCTTCGAAACTCCTGCTTGATTTGGTGTTTTAGAAGCTTCAGTTCATAAGGATCTTCCATTGGGTCTTCATCAGTTTTCATGTAGCTGTGCAAGCGTGAAGATGTTTGCAATGGTGCAAGTAAATCTGAGACTTCTTGTACCCTTCTGGCTTCAGTAGTTCGGAGAAGCCTATCAGTTTTGCTCAGATCCTTTTCATGTAGACTGTAAGCAGAGCTTAGAGCTGATGTTCCTTTAGCAAGATCCCCAATATCATCAATCAGCACATAATTACGTGATGCGTGGTGGTCAATGTCAGCATAAAAGGAGTCACCAGATATGCTTGAGATGGGACTACTGGCCATGCTGCTCCTCTCATCCAACCCCAACCTTAAGTCTAAGGTGCTGTATTTACTACCTAAATGGGACACTGCATAAGTGTTATCAGAAGATGCAGGTGCGATCATGAGAGGCTGATTGCGAATCACATCATAGTTTGTTGTTATCTTGGGCTCTAAGTATAATGAAGTTTGCCTTGTTTTTTGTGGGATCACCATTAACTGTGAGGAGAGCTGATAAGAAGGTTGTGGGGTTGGTGGTGCCTGAGCTTGGGGTGTGAATGACATGGTTGCCACAGTTGGGAATGCTGACTGGGTCTGATAAGGAGAAACTTGCTGTTGATATAAAGGTGGCTGCTGCTGGTAATGAGACTGCTGGGTGTACTGAGTCGGTGCTTGAGTAGGAAGGGCAGGTGAAGAGTACTGATACTGAGTATAAGGACTTGTAGGAGTGGTGAACTGAGTTTCTGGTTGGGTCTGAGGGGGTATAAACTGATCAAATTCTGTTTGAGGTGCAGTCCTTGGTCTTTCCAAGCCATGCTGAGATTCTATCCTGGTAGGCCTGGTGCTGCTGACTTCGCTGTCAGACATGTAATCACGTTCTTCGGCTACTCCCTGAAGGTAGGCACGCTCCCTCTTTTCTCTTTCTTTTAGCAATGCTTCTTTTCGTCGATTGATGCCCATTTCTAGATAACGAAGCTTGGCATCAATTTCTTTCTCTTCCTCATCTAGCTCTGCTTGCTTCTTCCGAAGTTTGGCTGACTCTCGTTCTACTAGATCCAGTTCTCTATCTATATCCTGAAGAATTTTAGCTCTTGCCATGGTATTGCTTCTACAGATCCTTCGACGTGAAACTGACCCCACAGTGGTGAAGGCAGATTGTGTTCCTACTGCAACATCTTCTGGAGGTGGGTTGGGTAGAGTCCTCTTGACCTTCTTTTGCATTCCTGATGGTGCTGCACTTGAAGGTCCCTTGGTCTGTAGCACAAGAAAAAATACAGATTAAATATTCTGGAGGAATTTGTGATTCACCAAGCCAAAGGCAACCTACTCATAAATACTTTGGACTTGTAGGTTATTTATCATTCTCAAGTTTTTTGTGCCCACAAGCAGGCAGCAAAAGAGAACGAAGTTATGGACAAAAAATCCCCAAATCCACTCACCCAAAAAAATTCACTGAGCAGAAAAAAGTACATACAAGAACTATCAAAATAATCAAAATGTTGGAGCACCTCTCTATAAGGAAACGTCAAACCCACAAATTACAAATCCAGACAATGAAGGGGACAACCAGTACACTTAAATTATATATGATTGTTCCCAAAGGAATGGCATTTTCTCCCTCTTGTAAGGCTGGAATTCAGAGTCATACAATGAAATTGGTTGGTATTAGATTCAGTATTAACCAGAGAAAGTGCTTCTTCATTCATCAGAATTTGTTTACAGAATTCTCTGCAACAGGATGTGGTGTTCATCACCATCCTAGATAGATTTAAAAGAGAATAAGGCAAATAATAGGAAATAGAACTATCAGTGGCTATTAGTCACAACTGCTAAATTGATTCTCTATGTTCTGAAACAGTGAATTGCTTCATATGTGTACTTAGAAGCAAACTGTGAGGAAGCCTATTGAATTGTGCCTAATTGTGTGTTTCCCAGAACCATCTGGCTTGTCACTGCTAGGGACTAGATGGGGCATTGGTATAGGCCAGCAGGGCTACTCCTATGCTACAGCAGGGTCACTGAGATCTTGATAGGCTACCATATATGGTTGGTTGCAATTGCCTGGGTGAGTCCCAGGGCATGCACACCTTTATTAACAGAGAATAATTGGTAAATACTTTGCATGAATAAATAATAATCAAGACCACCCCCCAAAGGAGAAGGAGAAGGAGAAGGAGAAGGAGAAAGAGGAGAAGAGAAGAAGGAGAAGGAGAAGACCCAGAGTAGCAATATGATAATTCTACACAACATTTTTCAATATAATTCTACACAAAACTCTATGTATGACAAACCAGTAAACATGGAAAGTTTCACTGATAAGGCCTACTTTTGTGCATGTAGAATCTTTTCTTAAAATCATGAAGACACTATGTTATTCTTCATTACAGTAAAGGATAGGTCAAAAGTGAACTTCAGAAAGTTTCACAGATTGCTTAATCAGAGGAACTGGAAATACACCCTCCCCCCCAAAGAAATCCAGGGAAATCCAAAATACAACCCAGGGAAATCCATTGGGCTTAGCACTGGTTTCCTTGCTAAAAATTCTTATTAACATGTTGATTTATACTTTAGAAGTAAATTCAATTGACTTTCATGGACTTACATCTGGGTATAAGGCTGTACCCTCAATTATATATGTAATGTCAATTAGTAAATTAGTGTGAAAAAACAACCAATCCAATAATCTTTCTGTGTTTCCCTTGGTTAACTTTAATATTTCATGATAATTAATACAATGGCATTTGTCACAAAGGTTCATATAAGCTGTCAGCACATTTAGTGTCATTTTCATTTTATCTCTTTCATTTATGTTCCATCAGCTTCTGCATGTTTTTCATTCTAATAAATGCAATTTAGCTCTAACGTTTTTCTATCAAACTTGCCCAATTCCTATGTAACACCAACAAAACAGTGTGCAGCTATATCAGAGTAACTTATGAATCATTTCTAGTAAAGCTGGCTGCTCAATTTATATAATGTTCAGCTTTTTGCAATTTTTCCTATTTGAAATAGGAATCACAGAAACTAAATGATTTTAGTTTCTGTGATTCCTCCAGTATCTTTGCCATGAAAACCCCATGGACAGTACCAAAAGGCAAAAAGATAAATGCCGGAAGATGCTACAGTAGGAAGCCAAAAGATAACCGGAATAACAGGCAAGTTTGGCCTTGGAGTACAAAATGAAGTAGGGCACAGGCTGGTAGAACTTTGTCAAAAGAATACATTGCAAACACTCTATGGTCATGGAAAACACTCTTTTCCAGCAACCCAAGAGATGACTCTGCACATGGACATCACCAGACGGTCAACACAGAAATCAGAATGACTATGTGCTCTACAGCCAAAGATGGAGAAGCTCTATACCAGGGGTACTCAAACTTTTTTTGCTAGGGGGCCAGTTGAAAGGTGGTGTCTACACTCTCGAGCCAGTGAGGTGGGGGTGCCGGGGGCATGGGCTGGTGAGGTGCTGTCGGGCATCGGGCATGTGTGGAGGTGGCTTGCTCGTGTAGAGACCATCTCTGATCGAGCGAGCCACCACTTCCCCGCCCAGGCGCAGGCGGCGAACAGCAGCGTGGGCCAGATGGATGGCCATGGTGGGCTGGATCCATCCTGCAGGCCGTAGTTTGAGGACCCATACTCTATACAGTCAGTAAAAACAAGACCAGGAACTGACTGTGGCTCAGATCATGAGCTTCTTGTTGCAACATTTAGGCTTAAATTGAAGAAAGTAAGGAAAAGCACTAGGCCACTCACGTATGACCTAAATCATATTTATTTATTTATTTATTTATTTAAAACATTTCTGTGCTGCCCACATGGCAAGAAAGCCTCGGGGTGTCTCACAATATTCATAAAAAAATTAATAATTTAAAAACTGGTACCATCTCAGCTATATATATTAAAATCTATAAATACAATAATAATAAATTAACAGTTAAAATAACTTTTAAATAAAAAGGTCTTTGCCTGGCGCCGAAAAGCAAATAATGACGGCGCCAGGCAGACCTCTCTGGGGAACGCATTCCATAGATTCCTGATAAACATACAGTAGACGTAACAAAGGAATTAGATCTGATAGACAGAGTGCCTGAAGAACTATGGACGGAGGTTTACAACACTATACAAGAGGTAGCAACTAAAACCATCCCAAAGAAAAAGAAATGCAAGAAAGCAAAATGGCTGTCTGAGGAAGCTTTACAAATAGCTGAGGAAAGAAGGGAAGAGAAAGGCAAGGGAGAAAGAGAAAGATGCACCCAGTTGAATGCAGAATTCCAGAGAATAACTAGAAGAGATAAGAATGCCTTCTTAAATGAACAGTGCAAAGAAATAGAAGAAAACAATAGAATACGGAGGACCAGAGATCTCTTCAAGGAAATTGGAGATATGAGGGGAATGTTCCAGGCAAAGATGGGCATGATAAAGGACGAAAATGGCAGGGACCTAACAAAGGCAGAAGAGATCAAGAAGAGGTGGCAAGATTACACAGAAGCACTATACAAGAAAGAGCTTAACGTCCCTGATAACCACGATGGGGTGGTCACTGACCTAGAGCCAAACATGCTGGAATGTGAAGTCAAATGGGCCTTAGGAAGTCTGAGCAACAACAAAGCTAGTGGAGGAGACAGTATTCCAGCTGAGCTATTCAAAATCTTAAAAGACGATGCAGTAAAAGTGCTACACTCAATATGCCAGCACATTTTTTAAACTCGACAGTTGCCACAGGATTGCAAAAGGTCAGTTTACCATTGCAATCATTTCAAATGCTAGCAAAGTTATGCTCAAAATCCTCCAAGCTAGGCTCCAGCAGTATGTGGACCGAGAACTACCAGAAGTACAGGCAGGATTTTGAAGAGGCAGAGGAACTAGAGATCAAATTGCCAACATATGCTGGATCATGAAGAAAGCTAGGGAGTTCCAGGAAAACATCTACTTCTGCTTCATTGACTATGCTAAAGCCTTTGACTGTGTGGATCACAACAAATTGTGGCAAGTTCTTCAAGAGATGGGAGTACCTGACTCTCTTATTCGTCTCTTGAGAAACCTGTATGCAGGTCAAGAAGCAACAGTGAGAACTGGACACGGAACCACTGATTGGTTCAAAATTGAGAAAGGAGTTCAGCAAGGCTGTATACTGTCGCCCTGCCTATTTAACTTATATGCAGAGCACAGCATGAGAAAGGCAGGGCTAGATGAATCATCAGTCGGAATTAAGATTGCCGGGAGAAATATCAACAACCTCGTATATGCAGATGATACCACTCTAATGGCAGAAAATGAAGAGGAACTAAAGAGCCTCTTGATGCGGGTGAAGGAGGAGAGCGCAAAAGTTGGCTTGAAACTCAACATTAAGAAAACTAAGATCATGGCATCCGATCCTCTCACTTACTGGCAAATAGATGGGGAAGAAATGGAGGTAGTGACAGATTTTATTTTCCTGGGCTCCAAGATCACCGCAGATGGGGATTGCAGTCAAGAAATTAAAAGACGCTTGCTTCTGGGGAGAAAAGCTATGGCAAATCTAGACAGCATACTAAAAAGCAGAGACATCACCCTGCCAACAAAAGTGCGTACAGTCAAGGCTATGGTTTTCCCAGTTGCAATGTATGGCTGTGAAAATTGGACTGTAAGGAAGGCTGAGCGCCGAAGAATTGAGGCCTTTGAATTGTGGTGCTGGAGAAGACTCCTGCGAGTCCCTTGGACTGCAAGGTGTTCAAACCAGTCAGTCCTAGAGGAGATCAACCCTGACTTCTCTTTAGAAGTCCAGATACTGAAGAAGAAACTCAAATACCTTGGCCACCTAATGAGAAGGAAGGACTCAATGGAGAAGAGCCTAATGCTGGGAATAACAGATGGCAAAAGAAGAAGGGGAAGGCAGAGAATGAGCTGGCTAGATGGGGTCACTGAAGCAGTCAGTGTGACCTTAAGTGGACTCTGGGGGATGGTGGAGGACAGGAAGGCTTGGAGGAATGTTGTCCATGGAGTCGCAATGGGTCGGACACAACTTTGTGACTACTAACAACAACAACAACAACACAGTCTTCCCAGTTATACTGAATATGGCTTTCTATGTCTTCTTCAGTTTGACAGATCTGTTGATGGATGCCATCAGGCACCTATCCAGTTATAGCAATCAATCATGCAGTTCAGAATTTTCACACATCCCATTGCTTCTAATCTGCATAATAGCAATGCTTTAATATGGGCCACACAATTACTCATAAGGGCTTTCAGAATCTTTCAAATTGAGTTCTTTA